TAATGAGAAACCAACACCCAATTGAGGATTAATCAATCGGATTCTATTCTGGATGAGCGACAGGATCTCCCGTCCCTGGGAAAGGGATTTGGAAGGAAGGACATTGAGTTTGACATCGGAATGCGAGAATAGCCAAGAATTGGCTTCTTTCCTGGAAGCCTGTGCACAGAACACAAGCGTTCGGACGGTCGCCTTTCGGGAATCCTTCCTTCCTTTGCGTCGAATCCGACTGCATTTGACTAGGACCGAATTCCTCCAAATGCTTCAGGCGATTTGTCGACTGAAGTCGTTAGTCCGAATGGTCATTCCACCAACCATGCCAGGAATGTTAAGAGGAATCACAGCGTCGTACTTTCTTCCAGACTGGCCAGATGACGAGGACGAAGATACCGATGAAAGCTATGACGAAAATATGTATTCCTCTAGCCTGCAGGAATGGATCGTCAATGATGCTGTTACATTTTGTACCATCCATGATGTCCATGCGATTGCGGATTCCATCGAGGAATTGTGTCCCAAACTACATTGGATTGAAATTCAAAACTTTTACTTCAAGCAATTTCGAACCAGCTCTAGAAAGCAACAGCAACAGCAACCCAACTGCAACAATGATCAAAATGATGAGCTCGATAGCGAGGACAACTGCCTATTGGATCCTTTGTTTCACTCGTTGGCCACACTGTCACAATTGACAGGCTTGAAACTCTCAAGTCATCCTGATTACACGCCAACGACTGTTGAGCAAGCATTGGCGGATGATAGCTCTTCTTCTCCGTCTTTAGCAATCGTTACTCCACGATCCATTAAGAGTCTGCTAACACGCCAATGTAACACTTTGCAACATGTGACGCTGTCCCGCCTTGGATTAACTGACCACGACTTCCAAGCCATTGCAGATAGCCTGCCAAAGTTGCACATTCTGGAAACACTGAACTTGAATGAAAACACCCAGACACATAGGGGGGGCATGTCCATTTTGGAACTGTTGCCACAACTTACACTGTCGCATCAGTTGATGTCGTTGTCCATTCGACCAATTTCACAAAATGTGGCATCGATTGAGGATGAAATGAATTGGGCGTTGGTCTTTCCTCACAACCTAAATCTACAGTATCTTGAAACCAGAACGATAAGGCTGGGTCATAACATGACCAGAAGTGAACGTGACAATGAAAGCGACGTAAGCAGTAACGAAGACCAGAATCACACCACATTGAGTGTGTTGGAGTTTTGGTTGCACGCAAATCGCATGCATCGTTCCATGTGGGGAAAGATCTCTCCGTCTGAATCCTCGCTCTGGCCAGTGCTGCTTGAACGGTTGGGGAAATACTCGGTATCGGCGCAGTGGCACTGTCTACAAGCTTTTTTGCCACAAATGCAACACGTTCAGTGAATCTGATACGACAGAGTCGGATTTCATCTAGAAAGTGCAACAATCGGTTTGCACGTCAACTGATAGAGTGTACAGGGAATTGTCGCCAACAGTATACGGAACCGTTGATTAATCGAATCCAATGACAGTCGGTTTAATGAAAAGAATCGACATCCGGGCTATCCATCTCAACTTGATCCTGCGACCGTCACTTCGATTTGATACGGAGCATGGGCCATGTCTTTATCGTCATTTGTCATCCTACAGGTGGCAAGAACATCGATTGCTTGGTCATAGGACGAAACTTTGCAGTTTGAAAATATATGCAAATAATCTCTTTTAGAGTACAATACTGTAGGTATAAAGCTTACACAGAATCCGCAACCTCATTGGTCGTGTGGTTCGACTTTGCGTCTCCAACATCGTAGCACCAGATCATAAGATAGCACAAGACCAAGTCGATAACTACAGTTGCAACAATAGGCACCAATGGAACAGTAAATCCCAAATAGGAGTCGACCATGTACCAAGCCGCGAAGGCACCCAATACGATACCGACCAAGAAATAAACGCCCAACACAAAGACATCTCGCCGTTGGATATGCTCTCCAAGTCGAGCTTGGATCATCTTCATTCCAGAACCTGTCATTGTGCAGGTAAATGCAATCCAAATTAGGACATACACAATGACGTCAAGTTGAGTGAGGAAAGAGAGGCAGGTCAAGAATGCAGCTCTCGGAATCTCTTCCTCGCTAGTAGTAGTTCCAGTGTTGACAATCATCGCTGCATACGCCCCAAGTGCAACTGTGTGTACGAGAAATCCTGTAAAGATTCCAAAGAAACGAGCTTTTCGGGGCAGTGCATTTTCATCACTGAAAACAGAACATACCCCTCCTTTTTCTTTCACGGGACCTTGTTCTTGTTCTCGTTCTCGTTCTTCTTCCTCGTCCTCCAACTCAAGGAGAGGTTGAGCCATTGTTGAAGCAGTTTCATCGTCCATTTCAATCACAGCCTTTTCGCTAGGTGCAACCATGATGTATCTTTCGTGCTTGTATCGAATGCGCTCTCGAAAATTGCAGCTATTCTACATCTTCCACATCGCGCACTCTTTGCAAGAATGGCCATTTTAGAGGTGCGCCAATTTTGTTGGGAATTATGTAGTCTCTTTCCTTTCTATTGGCGGAAGGAGGACAGTCCGTCACATGATCCGATCCAGTGAATTTGAAATTGTGGATTGGCTCATTTTTCTTAAACTCTCATCGACAATGGGGAAGAGCAACCGGCGAAAGCGCCGTCAAAAGCAGAAGCAAACCAGCGGTGATGCGAGTGAACCAAGAAATCCCTCATCAGCGACGCATCAACTGCGGCATCCAGATCCCAAAATAAGGCATGGCGCATTGGTGGCTCTTCAAGCAAACTTCTTGCACGACCATTCGAAGAGTGTCAACCTACAAGTTCTACAAGCAGTGCGGGAACAAGTGATGGATAGCGATATGAATTGTGCTAGTGCAGCAGCGGAGTGCCTTGCCCAACATGTTTCGTATGCAGATGGAGATACGCACAAGGATGTGATGGCCAGTTGGACTCTAATCTTGATTGGAAGACTTGACCAGTGTCTCCAAGCGTTGCAGTCTACGCCGAGCAATTCAAAGCAGTGGTATGCTTTGGCTGCTCCATGCTTAAGAGCACTGTGTAAGTTGATAGAAATGAATGAGCTTGCACTGGAGCAAATGAATGCACAAAAACAGACTTTTCTGTCCACCGTTTTCGGTCTGTTGGAAGCATCTGCGAATCATGAAGCAACACTTGATCAAAGACATACCGAATGGGTTGAAGAGACGGGTGCGTTTGCTGCGCGTTGTATCCACTCGTCGATTGAGGACAATTTTGAGATGGTTAATATCATTAATGGAAATGAGAAAGTCATGGAGCTTTGGCCAACTTTGATGAGCAAGTTGCCAGATGTGGCTGCGTTGCACGTTGCCGGTTGTGTTGTAGCATTGTATCAAGCAGCACCTTCAAAATGGCAAATTGATTTCATCATGACCAAAGTCTTGCCATGTTTATCCAAGTCCATGGTGGTGAATGCAGAAGGTCTCAAAACTCTGGAGGAAAACCTCGGAAAAGCGAATCAATTGTGGATGACTCAAAAGCAAGACGACAAAATGGAGAAAGAAATCCTACAGAAAATCGCAAAGAAAAGAGAATCTGCTAGAGATATTGCAAGACGACTCAAACAAACTACCAGAGATGGAAAAGCAGTGATGAATGAACAAGAAGATGGTCGACAGGCGGTTGAAGACTCTCTGACGGCTTGGAACAACACAATCATGCCCCTACAATTAGCTTTGGAAGTCATGGCAAACCTTTTGAGTTGTCTCGTTCAAGATGAAGACGAAATGGCTCTTGAACGTGATAGTAGCTTGGATTCCTTGTTGCATCAAGAGCTCTTGAAGGGCAAGGTTGCCGAGCATATTGTGGGGATGCTGCAAACCATATGTGTTCATACAAAGAGCCGTGCTAATGATGAACATGACTTGCTGAAAGATGATTTGCAAGAAGCCATTTCCAAGGTTTCTGCTTGTATTGCAAACTCTGTCATCAGCAAAGTACTCCTCGAAGCAGACTTTGCTGCAACCTGGAATGTCTTGAGGCAGCATCCTTCTGAGCGAGGAGTTTGCAGTGTGATGGCGGCACTAGTGCAAAACAGCAAGTCGCTAAGAGAGTTGGCGGTACATGACTTGGAGATTTTCCAAAACATGTTGCACAACAGCGACGAAGACGTTCAAAGAGATGCCGTTTGCTTGATTTCAGCAGCAATGGCAAGGAGCACTCCAGAGAATGTAGTCATCAACCTGACCAACGAGTTGATCAAGGTCATGAATACTGCTCCAGACACGGTGAAATGTGAAGCATTGAATACCATTATGGAACTGTATGGGGATGACGACTTCCACCCACGTGTTTTTTCATCTTTGGGTACACTTGATCATTACAAAAAATGCGTCATGTCAGTACCACAAAAGGGTCTAAGTCCAGAAGAGGAAGAAATACTGTTTAATGCGAATAGATTTGTAGAATATAAGGAAAGCTAAGAAGACCTGGTAAGATGATGACTATTCCAGTATGTTTGTTTGCTTTTACTTTGCCGCATACTCTAGAGTTTAAGAGAATCCTCCTCCTTGTTGCTGTGCTTGCGACTTCTTTGCCAATCGGCCAGTCATGAATTCATTGGTATCCAACCACTTGTTGACAGTGGACTTGACACAGGCAACTTGAGATCCCGACAAACTCTCGGATGGCTTAGAAGTGACGCACTTTTCGTAACTTCTATCACTAAGGTCCGAGATAACTTGTTGCACCATCATTTGTTGTTGAATGAGCATCGAGGCCTGTTGTAATTCTTGCATTCCACTGGCACCACCGCCACCGCCACCTCCCGAGGGCATGGATGGTGCACTAGAGGGAAAGGAAGCTTCATCTCTGGAGGTATAGTCGGCCTCCATAGTGGGGCTTGGACCGTCGCCTGAAAACCAACCCATTATATCTGTCACTAAAGTAAATCTATTGCAAGAGAGACAAAAGTTGTTACTCGTGTTGTGATGATGATGTGTTGCTTCCTGGTTTTCGTTTGATCGAATGAATCAGTCAACGAAAGCTCATGACCTATTTTTGACGAATTTCTTGCATCATCATATCATTTACAATACATTCTTCTCACTATTTCAATCCGAACATGGCGTCTACCTCCAGCAAAGCCTCTGTATTCAGATCGATTGCGAGATCAAGGCGATCGTCAAGACGCTTCCAACCAAACCGAAAGATTCCTGATGCCATATTGGGAGACATTTTGGTGAGAACTGAGAAGCATACATGACGGATCCATTCATTCTTGAGTGCTGGAGTGTATCTCACAGGTTGTCTTGTTCAGGAATCAACTTTGCGCTCTCCTTCCAGTTTCAATTTACAACCTTCCCAAATCATTCTAGTGCAATCCAATGAAATGAAACAAAAGCTTAGCAAGGAGGCCATGCTGGGCCCAGGCAATCAATTCCGAACCAATGATGCCAGTGCGTTGGCAGTCTTTCTCACAGATTTGGAACCAACAAAGAGAATCAATCGCATCTATGAGTTGGAGAAAAATTGTCGCAATCCGAACTATTTGAACAGTTTACCGATGGTTTCTTCGTTTCTCATTGGCGAGGGACACGCAGCAACCATGATCAAAGGTGTGGCAACCAATTTTCTGAGCGTCGTTCAGCCAATGCCAGTTGTGGAACCGGTTCAGGCCTGGGGGTACAAGAATTCCAGTCTACTGGCCCAAACATTTGTATATGCAGCAGAATCGAATGACTTGGCGACCTGCATGATGGAGGGATTTGATAGTAGGCGTGTGCAAGAGATTCTTAGAATCCCGGATCGGTATGCAGTTCCTCTGGCGGTGGCCATTGGGTACGAGTACGAAGATCCAGAATCATTTGAGCATACCCCTCGTTTAGATGTATCGGAAGTTGTCTTTTCTGATACCTTTGGGGAACCTCTTCGTTTGGAAGATGATGGTGAAAACGCTGACGAAACAGCTTGAGAATGAATCAGTCAGTCCAGACAAGAAATCAGTCTACCTCTACCTCTACGAAGAATTGCTACGAGGAAAGTCTGCCGTGGTACTCGTTCGTTCATCTCTTTATTTACAGTGTTGCATAGAGGTCCCAAGAGGCTTGGAAAAAAGGCCAATTCACTGTGTGCCAGCCCCAAAAGTCATACCTATGAATAGTGCTTGGCTTCAATAAGGTCGGAGGCCAATGTTCCTTCCAACTCTCCAAACGGCATTGGAACACTTTCTTTCCCCACAGTATTCTCTATTTCACTAAATTCCTCCAGTATATGAATTCTCTCTTTCATTTTCTTGCTAATGAACAAACTCATAAATTTGGACATTATCGACATCCATCCTGGCGATTGCAGGACGTAGAGCGCTTTCATTTTGATTGGCAAGATTCCAATTGTCAAGCGATCCAGTTTGGCACCAAGTTTCATGGGGACCAAAGTCATACATTCGATAAAGCCAGCGTGGGCAACAGCTTCGATAAAGAGCATCCCGTTGTTCTGTGCATTTTCATTGAACATGATAAAGTGAGCATACCAGACCATGTATCGGAAGGAATCCTTGAGTGGAACCTTATTCTTGATGGCATCTCTATCGAGCTGCTTAAAGTCTAGCCACCAAACAAAGTTTCCATTCTTGTCAATGGTAGATTTCATGCCCCAGGCTTTCCAAGCTTCCTTGACTGAATCTGCTGTCAACGGTGCCTCTACTATTTCTTCAGCATTATCGTCCATCCAATCGGCATAGCTCTCAATGCGACGGAATGCCTTGGAGATATTGAAAGCAACTTCCACGTCCGAAGGCGATTCACTTTCCTCGTTTTCCTTCTTTGCCCACTGGACAAAGGCAGCGTAGGTGTCCTCAAGGGTCATTCCAAAGTGTTCATGAGGGGATGCACGAAAGTCCCATCGCTTGTATTTCTTGGAATCTTCCTTTCGCTTTTGGCGGTCGGCGTCAATCATCTCCTTCACCTTGGCAATGCCTTCGGCCTTGGTTGCCACAAAGATATCATCCTTTTTGTCTGATCCAAATGGGTTGGAGAATGTCTACAAAGAAAAAGACAAGATGAGATCGATTGCAGAAAAGTACAATACAATCAACGACAACAACAGTTCGATGCAGCAGAAGCGAAACCTAGTTCAACATAGACATACCTTGATTGTCTCCTTCATGACATTGGTTCCATCGGAATGAAGATGCATGGCAGCGAACATGCCCTTCAAAGTACTCGGATCCTTCTTTCCATCATCGGTAGATTCTGCGGTGCTCACAGACATCTTATCGGCGGCTGCAGCAATGTCGTCGTCGGATACTTCGGATGTCATTTTGTCGTCGATCGATTGATTGGTTTGGATGATGTGCAATGCGGACTTACTTCACTCAGAAAAATAAAGCTCGACTCCGACACGACCCAAAGATATGGAATTTGGAATCGCCAAAACATTCGTTGGAACAAAAAGAATATGCTAGAAGCTTTTTTTTAATTCGTGATTACTTTCGGGGAAGTGAGATTGCTTATTTCAGATAAAGGTGCCTAAAAGGGGGACGATTAAAGACCAAGAACTCCAAGAGACTCAAACAAGATACCTACAGTATCATTACTTTGATGTACCAGTACTCGTCTCAAGAAGTGTAAACCAAGCATAATCGATTGCAAAGAGCGCATAGTCAAGAAAGAGATCATTAATTTGGGGACTTTCGACGAAGAGCAAGATGGAACACGATGGACAAGGATTCAAAGACACAGATTTCACCGGGTTGACGCTGGGAGATGTCATGTCAAAAGTGAATGATCTGGAAGTCAAGTCACAGAAATCTGAGAGTCACGCCCTGGAAATGGAAGAAAAGTTCAAGAAATCGGAAAGTCTGTTGCAAGAGATGATGCGTCGCCTTGCAGTCAGCGAAAACCAATTGGCCAATATGACGGGGTTGACACCAGGTCCAAACCAATGGTTTCGAGTTGGTAGCAGTGAAGCAGTGGAAAGTTCTAGTCTTCCCAAAGAATATCATGATGAGCAATTTGTCCTTCCACGAGACGTCTACTCCGTCGTGGCATCCTGTCACTGGAGAACGCTTCCATTTTGGATATCATTGTTCATCATCTTTGGGTTTCAGATCTTTTTGCTGGTTCTTCTCCTAGAAGATCAAGTAAACTGGGGTGGCGACAATGTATTGGGCATTCCAGCAAATGTGGAGACTACTGTTCGGACTGCTCAGATCTTAGCGTTGATCATTGCTCTCTTTGATCAGGACGATATTCGTATAGGAATTGAAGGTTTATCAGATGGGGTCCCGTCACTTTATAATGGAGATGGTCGCTTCGAAAGAGTGAATGTGATGCAGTGGGCCATGGCGTATGCACTTAGATTTGGACAAGGATTTCTTGGACTGTTCTGCTCTTTCCTCTTGTTAGTCCAAGCTGAGACTGTATTTGATGTGTTGTTGAATTTCCTGGGTAAGTTCGATTTGCATCCATTCCCATCAGTTTTGAAAGCTCACAAAAGCAGTCGTCTTTTTCCCAAGGCGTGAAATTTGTGTCAGGTAAGAAAAATGATTTCTTCTATCGATGTTGATATGCTTTTGTCCTTGACTTACCCAGTTATCTTAATGATGACAGAACTGGATGATTTGGCATTCATTCTTGGTGGACAAGGCTACTTTGGTTCAAGCTTGAAACAGTGTGTCAAAGCCACTAGTAGTGCGACATTTCTGCGAGAACAAAGGCCTTCGAACTCGTCTTGTTCGGACATCAAGAAGTATGCAAATGTGGTAGGGGTTTTTACTGTTTTGATTGCAATGGCGGCTGTGTTTGCCACTCTTGCAATTCGACAAGATGAAGGTACCTTCTCGATTCCACAGATTGCAGTCGAGTTTGGAGATGAGGTCTTGCCATACCTCGGGCTATTCAATGGATTTTACAAGGCCAATCAAAATGGTAATTTCCACCGGCGGCTAGTCTATGAGCAAGTTGGGGTGGACAACGAGCATAGTGGAAAACTAGGCTGGTGCTCAAATCTCGAAGATGAAGGAGAGGGGTCTGGAGGATGGATCTTCTTTACTAACTCTGCCAATCCATGCGCGGAATACATTATAAGATCAGAAGCAACAAAGACATTCGATGTGTTGGAAGCTGGGGCGACGCAGTGGTACATTCGAGATGGGCGTCCTCTAGATTACTTGGAAGTCACTCGTGTATTCAACGCCCCACAAGACTACTGGAGAGAAACATTTGATGAAAACCAAAGGCCATGTGAAGAAGTCCATCTTTCCGGAAGCTTCAAGGGCCTACAGGGTACTGGTACTCGATCGTCAACATTTCAACAACTGCCGACCATGACGACCATGATCATCAGCGAAAACCAAATACCCGATTCTTCTACTTTGGCTCATCCAATCTATGTTGGGCGTTCAAGCTCGGAAGTTGTTTTATTTACTGGTCGCAGATGGGTTTTAGTTGAGGGTGATAAGGTGCCGAATCTATCTCGCCATAGAAATAGCTCGTCATTGTGGGACATGGACGGCTTAAGGGAATTCTTCTATGGCAGACGGGAGTTCTTGTCCATGAACCAAAGCAATGACTGGGTCCTTTTAGTCAGTGAGATTGTGGAAGCTGCAACAAACCCAGGGTCACCTTTGGGACTCCAATGGTTCCACCCACGATACGACTTGGATTCGACATACAACTTTCCGTTTGCAGATCTTACGCGTCCGCAGGTTGCCAAAATGGGCTGCGCCAGGTGCGATGAAGAGGCCAACCCATGTGCCTATGAAGGAATATGTCATGATGGCATTTGCACTTGTTCGAATCGCGCCACTGGCTCCCTCTGCCAAGTTGTGCCTCGAGGGGATGGAATGTGTGATTTGTATTTCAACACTGAAGAGTTC